AAAACTGCTGTGGAATTTGTTGGTGTGCTTGACATTTCTTAGAGGTAACATCTCATTTTTATTTTTTCCTTATTTAAACATATTATCTGAAAAATACAAAGCAGATTTAAGCTGTTACAGATTTCTAAAGAAGAAATAGGTGAGTAGGAGATGACTCCAACAAAATAACTTGTGATACACATTGTGTACATCATTCATGTTAAGAATCAGGAGAGGTAAAATGCACAATATTTCACTTACAGTAGGGCTAACAAACCATATTATGAGAAATGATCCACGTCTGAGAAGCCATATTATAGGAAGCCACCCAGCAAACAGAGTGGGTAACTGATCAATGACCAGATAGGGAGGAAGGTGGTTTTGCAACCAAGTATGTTGCCATTCTGGTTTCCCTGTAGGTCAGATGCTGTTCTAGGATAATTTTCTGAGGAATTTCCCCACAGCATCACCATGAGGCTGTATGCAGTAGAAAGATCTAACCAAGTGGGTTCTTAGGAGTAGGCATGTGACATCTGACTTAGGACTCATAATGGTAATGACCCACTTGACTTTAGGAGAAGAAAGTATATTGGAATCATTATGGTGAATGGATTTAATTATTGGATTATTTTTTATACTTAGGCCTGTGGAGAAACCCTGTTATATAGCAACAAATTGACTTCTAATCTTGTGTATCTTTTTACCTATTCTGTTTTTAAGTAAACCACTTTGCTTTTGATAAATTTGTTTCCTAATTAAGGAAGGTGGATGAGAAAATATTTAGCCAACAGCACTAGAATGGAATTTAATTAATTAATTAATTTTTTGGTACCAGGGATCAAACTCAGGACCTTGTGCTTGCCAGGCAGGCACAGAACCACTGAGCTAAATCCCTGGGCCTAGAATGGAATTTAAAATCCACTCCTCCACACAATGAAAACCATACCTTAATGTATGAAAACGATACCTTAATTGCAGCTGTGTACTTCCTGTAATTATGGCACACCAACACTCTCTTATCTACTTTATCTCCAGTTCATTTCATTCTGTTATTTATACACTCTTTAGGTTTTAAGTAGTTTTGAGAGTTTGCCTTTGTATATCATCCCCAGCATCTCACATATCGTAGATGCACAAAGACCTCTTTAAACTTTCTAATGCAAAACCCTCTGAAGAACTGCATAAATTTTAGGAGGGTGTGGAAAACACCATGTAAAAAAATTTGACATTTACAGAGTATATTCATCATTTCACAGTATTTCGAAACACACCCTGAACTACAGAAAATTTAGTATGGGAGGAGTGGTAAAGCTAAGTCAGTATGATCTCCTGAGAGAATGAAGTACTCATGTTCTAGGAAACTGCCAACAAGAAAATTAAAATGCTAACCCTCCCACCTCCCATTTGTCAGTAGTATCTTAAAACAGTGATCTCATGAATGCTCAAGGCTTCCTTTGAACCAGCCTTGAGCTGAGCCTGACCCTCCGGGTGCCTCACATATTCTGGCAGGAAATACGATAGGGATTTGTGGAAGTTCAGTGGACCAGCTGGAGCCACTAAACGCAGGACAGTGGAGGGAACATGTCTCTCTGATGTTGCCTCGCCAGTACCAGCTCACTGTTGGAAAAATCTGGGTGAATCACTCCTGGTTGGACTACCCAAGAAAGCTTGGGCAGACTGGCACATATCTGACACTAGCAAAGAACAATTAGGCATATGGCTGTTTCAGTTGTTAAGTAACATACCTGCTTTTGTGAAATTACAATTTCCACTTTAGCAAATTCAGAAAATATCGTCCAAAAGTATATGTAAATCATCATAATGCCATTGTCCCTAAAAGACAAAACATAAAACCTACTATTTATATCTTTCTGAATTTTTTAATCTCTTCACATTGGCCTATTTAAAACATCTACTGCAACATGATTGTTTTTCAGCAAAACACTATTCCATTTCACTTGTTTTTCTCTCCTTTTATTCACTTAACATCCCATTAACATGAATAGGTATTGTAGGCTAGGCATTTTCTCATTTAATTCTCAACTCTGGAAGATGACTTTGTACATGTTATCTCAGTTTTGGAGCAAGAAGCTGAAGTTCAGGCAATTTAGGTGATTTTTTTCCCCCAAGATCTCACAATGTCCACCTACCTATCCATACATGTCCAACAGATGAAAGTTTTATTTATCTTTTTTAAAAATCAAGCTGAGATCATATCACTAAAAATATGTACCTCTTGGTAAATAATCCTGTGTTTTGTGTGTGTGTGTGTGTGTGTGTGTGCGTGTGTAGTGGGGATTGAACCTAGGCCCTTTACACTGAACTACATCTCCTGCCATCTTTACATTGTTAAATTGTGAAGCACAGTCTTGCTAAATTGCCCCAGTTGTCCAGGCTAGGTTCAAACTCACAACCTTCCTGCCTCAGCCGCTCAAAGTGCTGGCATTACAGGCTTGCACCACTATGCCCGGCTTCACAATATATTTAAGAGCAACTTTGTGTTAGAAATCTCACCTACATTCAAATTCCTTGGTCTTTTTTCATTAAGGAGACAGCAAGAGTCAGAAAAGGTGAAAGTATTGTCATGGGAAAATATAAAAGCCTCTATTGCCAAAATAATCAAAAGGCAGCCTCCCCTAAGGAGCAAGGCTCTCACCTTGGCCTCTTCCCAAACTTGATTTTTCCCATCCTTTTAGGAAACTTCTTCCTTCCTTTTTGCTCTCCCTCCTTGCAGACCTTGCAGCCCTAAAATCCTTTATTTGTACATTTGCTGTCCCACTTATGTCCCTCTGTCTTGAAACAGGAACATGTCTCCTGCTACCACACTATAAATTTCTTGAGGACACAGAATATTTTGACTCCCCATAGTAACCAACCAAAGGTCTAGTGCTGAATAACCCAATAAACTTATTTTGAAGAAACACAAATTTGTTTTTTATTGAATACTGAAAACATGTGCTGTGGCTTGTGTCTAGATGTCCCCTCAAAGCCTAATGCAGTCTTTTTTGAAGGTGGCCGAATCTGGAATGTGTGATGCTAGAAATAAGGGCATGTGATTACTAAACCACTACAAGTGAGTGATTGGTTTGGCATCATACTAATCCTGATAGTCTGGATGGGATAAAAGAGGCAAAAAGATTCTGTTGAAGGCCTCTCCCTTGCTCCCTTGTTTTTGCTACCATATTTGTGCATCATGTTGTTTCTCCTCTGCCATCCACCTTGCCTTGGAGTCAGCCAATTATGGACTGAAACCTCTATGAACTATAAGCTAAATAAACCTTTCCCCTTTAACTTTGGGCATCGGGTTATTTTGTCTCAGCAACAAGAGAAAAGTAACCCACAAAACGTGCTAGTTTGGTCTTAAGAGAATAATTCAAGCTCAGGGACATCCATATGTAAGGACTAAGAGACTCCAGACAATCCCAGTGTACAGATTTCTGTACTTTTTTTTTTTTTCTTTTTTTGGTACTGCGGATCGAACTCCGGACTTTGTGCTTGCGAGGTGGGCGGAGGCACCACTGAGCTAAATTCTTGGCCCCAGATCCCGTACTCTTAAGCCTCACTGTTTCCAACTGAAAGTTTGTGAATCAGAGGGAAATATTTCCTGTTATTCCTAGCCAGAGGAGGCTCAGCTGCGACTATAAACAGAACTGCTGGTGATATTTACAGCTTTCAGGGGACGTGGCATTCTGACTGGATATCAGAGAGCAAACAACTCTGTTGACCATTACACACTTCCTTGATCCCTTTCCTCCGGAACTGTGTACTCTGTGGGTTAAGAGTTTCTTTTGTGCTGGGTAAATTTTTAAAATTCCTGAAAGCTGCAAAAGATATTTATCAAATGAAAAAATACATCCTGTTAATTTGTAAATTATACCTCTTGCTGTTATAAGGCAAACTGATACAAAAGCCTTCATGAAAATAAACATGCAAGACGAAGAAACACTACAAGTAAGCCTACTTACCACCTTGGTAATTGATAAATTGCTAAGTTAGAAATTCCTAAGACAAAATGATACTATAGTCTGTGAAAAATAGGCAAGAATAGTTAGGAAAGCACTGAAAAAGAGAAACTAAAACAGGAAGCCTATCTTCCAGATACAAACAGAAGAAAGGCACCTCAACGCCTTAATTTTTATGATAGGTGCTATGTTAAATCCAAGTGTTTCTGTGAATTCATACCGGATTTAAAAAAAAAACCCTGCAAAATACAGCACAAACTTAGGTGTAAACACAGCTTCTACGGGCATAATGTTGAAGGTATAATCTCCTGGTTGTGTACAGGACTGTTAAACATTGGCCCTAGAGGTCATCCAGTGCAACCACCATCTTTGTGCCCTGCGAGGTGGCCCAGACTCAGAGCTGACCACTCTCTCACTGGCATGCTTATCACTGCCCTCCTTAGGTTACCTAACACCTTCGCCTGCATTTCCTCTTTTTTTCGTGTCTGCTTGAGCAGAAGGAAAGCAGCCTAGCCTCACCCGTTCAGCACTCAAAAACCACCTGAGGACAAATCCCAGCCCAGTATCTGAGGAACACAGTAGGCCCAAGGTCAAAGGGCGCGAAAAGCATAAACACCCAGCCAAAGCGAGGGTGTTCGGAAATCCGCCACGCGGAGTCATGATTCCCCGCTCTACTCCGTGATCCGCTTCTGCAAGAGGCCTGCGCCCCACGCCGCTGGACCAAGGGGACCTCGGAGTGCCACGGGCTCACGTCTCGCGCGCAGCCCCGGGCGTCGGGGCTAGCAGGACCAGTCCAACGACGCTTGGCTCTGCGTCCCTTCGCCCGATCCGGTACAGCCCCGCCCGGTAAAGCCCTGTCCAGATTAGCGGCCAGGATGGCCCCGCCCCCGCTACTACGTGAGGGGCGGTGCCGCTCGCTCACCCGTCCCATTGGGCTAGAGAGTGAGTGACGCGCGGAGACACAGCCCCGCCGCTTGCGGGCGCCCCAGGCGCTGACGTGTCGCGGCCGTCTGCTTCAGCCCCTCCCCGCACCGTAACCACTCAGCGCGGCGAGAGGGGCGGGGAGGCCGGGGCTGGCGCTGCCCTCGGCCCCCCTCCCGGCCCGCCCCGCCGCCCGGGCTCCCCCACCCTCGATGAGGGTATATATTCAGGGCGGGCTCGGGACGTCGATGAGTGGCCTAACCGAGGGATCTGGAGCCGGAGCTGGGCGGAGCCACAGGCGCGCGGAGGGAGGTAGGGGCTCTCAGTGAGGGTCACCACACTTGGTTCACGCCACGCGCGCGGACGGGGACACGCGTCGCAAGGGCGGTGCACGGGATGGTCATCGTGCCTCTGCCGCGGAGCCTGCACACCCGCGCCGCGTCCACGGAGACCCGGCTGGAGGGTGTGTGGGCTGCGCCGCCGGTGGGGTCTGGGGGATGGGACCAGAGTGCCCCGGAGGGCGGGGGACTTGGGGAGAGGAGATTTGGGGCGAGGTCTGAACTCAGAGGGATTTGTCAATGCGGCGGGCCTACGGGTGGGTAATCAGCTGGGTTGGGGATAGGAGCCTTGCGGGTCTCAGTCCAGGGCCTTGGGGACGGTTGCCAAGTCGGGGAGGCCACCCTCCATCGGGGATAAGTGGTCGTTGGAACTGTCAGGTCAGAGCGAGTTGGGGGTGTTTTGGATGAATGAGGAAAAGAATTAAGAGCTCTGACAGGGAGGACAGGAGATACCTGTTCAGGACTCCACTGTGGACCAGACCTGCTTGCCTGCTTGTCTTCTTTTTTTTCTTTTTTTAAAAAAATAATAGTGGAGAGGATTGGAAATTCTGGGTTTCCCCTCGCTTGCCCGAGCAGAAGGATGAGATTGGAGGGCTGAGAGCATACATGTGCTGAACAGATGACTCCTTGAAGATTTGATCACGTTTGGCCTGATGCTGAATGTGGTGAAATGTTTATGTATGCTTTATGAAATCTTCAGATCAGGTGGTAGTGATCATGTTAACATGTATGTGTCATTATGTTGTGCAAAAGTTTAAGGACTTTGAGGTGAGTTTCATGGGGTGTGGACCAAGGGTTTGCAGGAAATGGAAAGCAGTTGTCCGATCTTTTGGTGTTAGTTGGCTCATTTAGCTGGGGCTAAAAAAGATTTCATAAACTGTGCTGCCAAACATTTGTAGGATTCAGTCAGTAGTACTGGCTCAAGCTCAATACAATTTTTCAAAAACTCTAGTCTTAACAGATCTACTTAACCGTTTTAGGGGCATACATAGAGCAGTACCAGTACAGATAGGGACAGAGACACAGGATTTCTTTAATTCTGGTATTTAAATTATAATAGGGGTATAGTCTATCATGGGGGATTATTGTCAAGTTTGCCGTTTGTTTAGATACAGTATATTAGTCTATTGGCATGTGCCAAATCTTGTTAAAATTTTTAGAGCCAATTTTCAATTTTTGGTTGTCAAAATAAAAATCTGTATCTTTTCACTCTCTTACTCCATCGCTGCATACCATTACACACACATATACCTCTTACTAGCATTAGGAAATACAGTACTATATTTATAAAATGGGAATGGATCTGTCTGCCTCAAGTGAACATAGATAAATTATGCTTTTCTGAAGCTCACGTGTGGTTCTTGCATTGTGAACATTACCCATAAATGAGGACAAGTGACCTTGTCACTCTTTGGATTGCCAGTGTTCTGAGCCCAGTTATCAAACTTGAACTTATGTGTTTTCTCATTTACCTGGGTCCATTTTTTTAATCATTGAAGGTAGATGAGTATCTAATGACTTTTTAGGAAAAAATTCATTTATAACTTAAAATGTTAACAGTGTTTACATAGGCTTTTTATTAGGCAGTCTTTTCCATCCTTGACTGTTCTGAAGATATGTGGAAAAGCTGGATTGTCTCTTCGTAAGAAAATATATGCACAAGGAAGTGAAATGATTCATACCGGATCAGTTGTGGGTGGAGGGTGAAGAACTGGAACTTGCCTGGGGGTGGTGGTGCAGCCCTGTAATCCCAGCACTTGGGAGCCTAGGCTGGAGGATCTTTGTGAGTTCAAGGCCAGCCACAGTTAAATAGTGAGACCCTGTCCCAAAACAAAACAAAACAAAAAAAACTGGGACTTAGTCTCTGGTTACCTGTTTCTCTCCTAATCTTCCCACTACAGTAGTCTCCTTTAATCTGGGCAAAACCAGAAGTATAAATGACATTCTGAGACTCATTCCTCGTAAAATAATGTATTATAAATCTGTCAGTCTCAATTGTTATTCCATGTGATGTGTTAGAACAATAAAAGCATAGCATCTGACTCTTGAAATTTATGTAAATCAATAGAAGTACTTTGTAATACCCTAGTGAGTATCCAAGGCTCAGTCTCCTGACTTATATCTGCCTACACTGCCTAAGGGAGCTCATTCAAACCATAACTTAGTATGTATGCTGATGACCTTGAAAGTTTTACCATTAGTTCTGGTATTCCCTCTGAAGTCTAAGCTACTGTGCTTTGCTGTCTAATCAGCGTTGCTCTTTGGATGTGTAAAAGCCTTATCAAACTGAACATGACCAAAAATGAAGTATTGATTCTCTCTGTTCTCCTACACATCCCTCAATTTGCTCTCATCTAGTGTTTCTCTGTCCTTAGTACCACTACTTGGAGCCATCTTTGCTTGATTCAAATCTTTCTGTCTTACTCCATGTTCAGTTTATTACCTAATCTCATAGGTCTATTTCACCACCACTGTCTCTTATCCAGTCTACAGTAGTAGTTCCTAACTGGTCTTCCCAGCTTCCGCTTTTGCCTTCATTATAGTATTCCCCCCAACCTGCCTCCCGCACACTATAGCAGATGATCCTTTTCAAACCTAATTCACACCATGATAGTCATTCTCCAGTGGCCTCCTAAACCCAGAAGTCCTTACCTTGAACACAAGGCCCTCCTTGATCTGTTCTCTGTTAAGTTTCCCAGCCCTCTTTCCTTCCATATGGAGTCTTGGGCAAATAAGTTAACATTTTGAGCCTTATTTTCTCATTGTACCACATCAGCTACATCAACCTTTTGTTCTGCCTTGAACACACCAAACACATTCCTGTCTTGGGGGCTACCAAGTATTTCACCTTGACATGTCCCTCTCTTCATTCAGATGTATCGAGAGGCCTTACCTGACCACTCATCTGAAATACTCATCATCGCTCCTGTTGCTCTTTAGTCCCTTCTCCCACTTTATTTTTTTCATAGCCTTATCTCATAGCACTATCTGATATTTTATGTATTTGTCTCCTACACTGGAATATGAGCATGCACATTGTTGCTTTCTTTATTATGTGTCCTTATCACACAGATCAGTACCTAGTAAATAGTAAAAGCTTATTACATACTTGGGGGATGGATCAATAATAACACATGAAAGTTTTTCTTCTTAAAATTGCCTATTAAATGTATTTGTACATTATAAGGACGGTTTTATGAGTAACCTATTTACATAAGTGGAAAGGGTGTTTTGCGGACCCAAAGGAAAAACACTTCCATGCTGTATAACAGTGTTTCGGTAAACTACAGATTGAATATACTACAGTGGTGCCATAGATTATCACGGAGCTTCAAAATCCTGTTGCCTGCTGACATTGTTGCTGTTGTAATGTAGAGTGACACATTGCTTACGTTTGTGGTGATACTGTTATGAACAAATCTACTGCCCTGCAAGTGCAATAAAGCAACAGCACATACATTTATGTACAGAATATACAATTCGATAACAATAAATTAAGTATCTCCTGTAACTTTTTATGTTGAGTAATTAGAGGTTTGTGTAAGTATGCACCCTCTTCAATGTTTGTACAGTGATAAAATCACACTTTTCTCAGAATGTGTCATTGTTGTCAAGCAATGTACCACTAAAGCAGCACTGATAAAATTTTAGCCACTCATGTTCTGACCTTATTCATTGCATACATTTACTTTCTTGAGCCATTTTTCATACTGTTCCCATGTAGTAGATTTTCTTTTCTTATATCCTTGGCGAACTTCTTTGCAGCCTCCAGTGCCTGACTGAAATAGTGGTTCTCGTGTTCAGAAGGCTGTGACTCTGCTCTGGAAGGCAAATTTCACTTACATAATGGTAGCTAATAGCGTTTACAGAGGATTTTCTTTATGCCAGGCACTGTTTTAAGTGTTGTCATCATACTAACTCATAAGTGCTTTTACCTTAGAGGTAAATACTGATTTTAGTACCGTTTTACAGATGAGAAAAATTGAAGTGTAGGAAGGTTAAGTTGCTCAAGACTGCAAGCTTTGAATGTGGTAGACCCAGCTCAGACCCAGCTAGTCTGACCCCACCCAACGGCTAGTTACCACTGTTGCCTCTCTTTAATGACACCTTAGGTTGGATTCTTAGTATTTGCACTGCCTTTGTGAGAGATGTATTGTAGAAAAGGATAGATATTAGAGTCAGTTAGATCTCAGCTAAAATTCTTGGTTTTTTTCTGGTTATGTAGCTTTGGGCAAATTACCTAACCTTTTTAAGCCTCATTTTCTCATTGATTTTAAGTTATGCCTCTCAACCTAGCGAGGAAAATATTATTACTCTTATTTTACAGATGAAAACACCAAAGTAGAAAGTATTTGTGACTAGTGCAGGCAAGAGAACCAGGAATAAAAGGCAGTTCTCTTTGATGACAAAATCTGACAGCTACCTGAGGAGCATTGGGAATTACCCTAAGCATGCGGTACAAGAGATGACTGTGTTGCAGGCTCATCCATGACCACATCACAAGACTTCTCATGGTTGCAGCAGGGCCAGTGAACTAAGTCTCAGGTTGCCTGCCATCATCTTCTTAGGGGGCAGCTTTTCTTTTGACTTTCTTTGTTCAATCCTGCAAGTGGGCAAAGCTGTACTTGCCTTTTCTTTTTGCAGAGACTGTAAGCTCTGTTATTGCAACCACCTCGGAGGACACACTGCTTCTCCTGACCTGAATTTGTATGTGGTGTTTGCTGGTTGTTTAAAGGTTGTGATGAGTTAGATACTGTCGTTAATACCATATTACAGGTAGGGGACCTGAGGCATGGTGAAGTTAAGGGACTAAAATGAACTCTAGAATTGAGCTCTGAACTATGCTATATTACTTTTTACTATTGTGCTAAAGGAAAAGATGATTGGGCTAGGGTTTTTTTTTTTTTTTGGTATCTGTTTTTTTCTACTCCCTGAATCTAAGTAGTTGCAGTGCACTGGTGACTCTAAAGTGACCTTCACCTTTATCCCTTTCACTCTGTTTTCCTTTGCAACAAATTTAGCTCTTACCTTTGGTTTTTCATACCTGCAGTTGTCATTTAACTTGTCCTGCTTCTAACTGTTACAGCTTGTGTCTAGATGTTCTCCCAAAGCCTCCATGTGGTCAAAGGTGGCTGTATCTAGAGTGTGTGATGCTGGGATGGAGGGTGTGTGATTACTAAATTAGTCCACTGATGGGTTTGGCATATTCCTAATAGGATTAAGGGTGCCCCAGGGTGGGTGTGAGTGCTAAGGGCAGGTAGCCTGGATGGAACGTAAGGGACAGAGAGTCTAGGGTTGCCACCTCTGCCTTTTGTCTGCCATACTTTGCCGTGGACTGTTTCCTCTGTGATGCCTCTGGAGCCAGCCAAGAATGGACTAAAACCTGTAAACTGTAAGCAAATCTTTCCTCCTCCAACTTTGGGTGTTGGGTATTTTGTTTCAGCAACAGAAAAAGTAACTAAGACACTGTCCATCCATCCTGATATCTTTTCCGTGCCATTGCTCCTTTCTCTCAAAACCTTTCTATTTAGTAGTCTTTTACTGTTGGGTTCGTATGACTTATTCCATTAGGTGTAAATCTCATTGTGTAGTTTTCAAGGCACTTTATGGTTTAGCCCTACTCTTTCCCATCTCCTGTCATTTTGCATAAGACTTTTGCTTTTCTTTCTTTCCTTCTTTCCTCACCGCGCCCCCCCACCCCCTCCCGGATCTCACTGTGTAGTCCAGGCTGGCCTTGAAATCCAGACAGTTCTCCTGCCTCAGCCTCACAAGTGCTGAGGTTACAAGTGTGTGCCACTGCGCCCTGCTGACTTTTGCTTTCTTACCACTCTCCATTCTACCTTGCTCACTCCTCAGTCATTAGGCTCTGCGGGTTTCCTGATCTTATCTATATAGTTTCCTAAACCCTTGAGGCGCAGCTCGATTGTGATCTCCTACTAGCCAATGCCTGTCTCTTATTATATTTATCTGTGTTAGGTGAGTAGATTAAATATTTCATGCTTTTATTTTTAGCACTGTATATTTTAACGTTTTGTTGTATGATCACAGAATACTCTCGAAAGCATGTCTCATTATGTGTGCACTGCTTGTCTCTTTAAGGTCCAAGTTCTTAGTGAGTGTAGAGAATGGACTTTATTACTTCTTTGCAGAAGCTTCTGGTGTTATAAATAGTATATATAGGTGGTCCTATATTCCTGAATATTATTGTATTCTGAGTACAACAGAGTTTTTTTCATTAGAGATAAAAGGAGAAGAGTGGGAATGTTAAGTCAGAGGAGTACTCTAGAGGCAATAAATGTGGAATCAGACTGCCTGGGTTTGAGTCCTACTCTACCAATTGGCTGGGTTGCCTCTCTCTCTCTCAGTCTCCTTACTTTAAAGTAGTGATAGCAATAGTATATATGTCATAGAGTTGTTGAAAATTAAATGAGGCCATGTAAGTAATGTTCTTTATGCAGAGCCTGGTCCATACTGCTCATTATTATTATTTTAAAAATCTGATTTTTTAGTAATATTGAGTGACAGAAAGGCAGAAGTTAATTTCTTTTTGTCTTTTCTTTTTTCTGAGAGAGCCTCACTCTGTAATTCAGGCTGACTTTGATCTCACTTTGTAGCTCAGGCTGGCCTCAAACTCGAGATGATCCTCCTGCCTCAGCCTCCCGAGTGCCAGGATTATAGGTGTGCACCACCATGCCCAGCATTATAATTTAATTTCTTAACATCAGTTTTTTCAGTGTAGTCATACATAGCTTAAGGGTAGGGATCCATTCAGAGAAATCTGTTATTTGGCTGTTTCATCACTTGGAAACATCACAGAGTCTACCTATATAAATTATGATGGCTATGCTATCAGTAGGCAATACAATCTTAAGGGACCACTGTCATACACGAAGTCTGTTGTCGACCAAAATGTTGTTATGTGATTCATAACTGTACTTAATTTAGTAAGAAAACTCCTTCAGTTTTGAAGGTTCAACTTTGGCCTGATACTAATTCCTTTTCTCTTTTAGGTTCACAGGTGCAAAAATCACACTCCTGCTTTCACAAAGATTGGCCACCAGAGCACTATGAATGTTAATGACCTCAAACTCAGATTGTCCAAAGCTGGGCAAGAACATGTGCTGCAGTTCTGGAATGAACTGGAAGAAGCACAACAAGTAGACCTTTATGCGGAGCTCCAGGTCATGAACTTTGAGGAGCTGAATTTCTTTTTCCGAAAGGCTATTGAAGGATTTAACCAGTCTTCTCACCAAGAGAAAGTAGATGCACGAATGAAACCTGTCCCTCGAGAGGTGTTGGGCAGTGCCACTAGGGACCAAGATCAGCTCCAGGCCTGGGAAAGTGAAGGTACTGAATGTGTGACTATTTGTTACAAAGTGTATTTAAAGTAGCCTGATCATGTAAAAAGTATTTTGATTCTCGTGCTACCTAAACCAGGTGACCCACCAGAGTGACAGATTGTCTTGCAATTGTCTCCTATGGCTGGCCCTTACATCTGTTTTCATTTCTGATGCCTGAGTCAAAGCTTTTCTCATTTTGGTCTTAATTTACCTCTTTTCCTCCTCAATTTCTATATTTCTGGATTGGTTTTCCTGAAATTGCCAAACACAAGTTAAATGTTTCAATTGTAGCTGGCTTCTTCTGAAAACCTGCCTCAGCCTGGCCCTAGCCTGTATTTCCAGTCTTGTTTCCTTTCATGTTTCCCCCCCGTTCCTGCTGCCGCACCACCATATCATTTCATTTGAGCTGAACCGAATAATTCACCTTTCCCTACACACTGGTTTAGGCCTTTCCTTCCCTGCTCATGTTTCACCTTAGCTCGTCTGGGCTTCACCCTTTCTCTACTTCATTGGGTCACCTTCTAAAGTTCATCTCTTAGATTTCTGCTTTGTTATGGCTTTATCCCTTGGGGAATTTACACTTACTGTTTATGGTTCACCACACCTATTCACTTGTTATTTGCTCATGATGTTTTCTTCAGTGTTCCAAGTTGGGGTTAATATTTATATATATATATATAAATAAAAATATATGTTTTTTTAATTTTTTCATTTTTTTTTGAGACAAGATGTTGCTTTGTAGTCCAGCCTTGAACTAATTATGTAGCCCAGGCTGGCCTGAAACCTGAGATGATTCTCCTGCCTCAGCCTTCCTAGTGCTGGGATTACGGGCATGCGCCACCATGTCCAGCACAAATTGGAATTAGTTGTTTATACTTATATTTCATTCTGCCTTATTTCATTGTTTGTATTTGTTTTCCTCATTTTACTGTAAACTCTTGAAGAAAACCTTTGTCTTACTTGTCTATGTATTTCAGGTTGCACTTAGAATGAGTTTTGGAGTTGTAAGTTGATTAGTAATGTTTATTAAAGTGACTCAAAACTGTTTATTCTAAAGGATATGATAGACTCTGTCCTCAGAACTGCACTAATTTGTGCTTTGGACTATGGCGGAATAGCTCAATTGTGGCTTATTGGTGGAATTGAGAGATAGGGTTTATATAATTTACTACTCTGTAAGTAAAAGGTTGACTAAATATGGTAGCCAAGGGCCTTGAGTGTTTCTACATGTTCCTTGTCAAATCCCAGCCTCATATCCTCAACTGTGAATGAGCAGTCTGGACTCAAAATTTTCTGTCCTTTTTAAAAGAGAGATTACTCCAGAAACTAATATCAAAATAACAGAAATAGCCTAGGACCTAATCCAAACAGTTTTTTCATTTGTTTGTTTGGGTTTTTGCTCACATTACTACTCGATACTTGATTATATACACTACATATTTACTTTTATAGTTGTGAAATAATGTTACAGATACAATGTTACATCTGTATTTGTACCATACCATGGCTATTTTTGTTTTGTTTTCTACTCTTGGACATCACACCTCTCACTCCTAAGAAAAAAGATGACTGGCATTATTAACCTTCTAATACCTCTCTTTTTCTCTAGGCTCACAAATTACTGATTTTCAAACTGTGTTCCAAAGAGGCATAGGGGTTTCACTGCTAGGAGAGCGGTCTCATAGAGGGAGGGAAGCAGATGTTTACTAGGTAGGTCTCTAACCCCTGTCTCCCAGCTGGAAGAATAGCTCTCTTTTTCTAACCTATGTACTTGATCATTATGTGAAGTTTTATTTAAAAGGGTTTGAAGGTTACAAAGCAGTTTGAAAATAATTGGATGTTCCTCAAGAAGGTGCCTTTCAGAGAACTGGGAATATATCTCGTAGGTAGAGCGCATGCATGCCTGGCATGTTTGAGCCCCTGGGTTCAACTCCAGCACAAGGGGAAAAAAAAAAAAAGATTTTTCAGATGTAAAATGCTTGTTTATGGTTAAATTTCCTTCTTACATAGATTAGGGTTCAGACACTAAAGTATGACTTACAGATGAATCCTTATGAGTGGAGAATTTTGGTGATACCATGACTTGCTAAACTTCAGATTCACTAATCCTTCCCCACTTCCCTGGGTTTAGAAAGGATCCTACTCTAAACCAAAAGCCATATAGGCCTCTTCTTACTCTCTTAATATCCTAGCTACCTATATTTCTCCATGGAATTTGAAGAGGATAGAGTCTTAGTACTAACTCACTCTCTTTTAAAGGAGGAGAGATTTATTTTGGTTTAAGTATTAACTCTTAGCCGGGCGTGGTGGCTCATACCTGTAATCTTAGCACTCAGAAGGTAGCTCAGAAGGCAGGAGAATTGCAGTGAGTTCAAGTTCATCCTGAACAACATAGACCCTGTTTGAAAAAAGCAAAACAAAACAACAGCAAAAACCACAAAAACAAAAACCCAGTATTAATTCTTATGGAAAATCAAAACTTTTACCTTGTATAATGACCAAAAGCAATAGTCAAGACTGCCTATGATTTTTATCTTCTTTATAATCTTTTTGTTAGAATCTGTGGAACCACTCTACATTTGTGACTTTTCAATTAAACTATAATCCAGAACTGTTAGAACCAAGTATAACATAAGAAGGTGCAAAGCAAACTTCCTTCTCTGTTGGTTTGAAGGGAACAATATTTATTTGTAGGGGTGGAGGAAGAGATTTTGTAACAGACGTAATATCTTTTTCACTTAGCCAGAAACTACCTTGTGTTTGCAAATTTCTAATAAGAATTTCAGTGAATTATCAAAAGGAAGAGATTACTGTTGTAAAGATTATGCCACTATATTTCAGATAGTGAGAGGATCCTGTTAATTGTAACAAGGACATTTATTTTCAGGATAGGGGAAATAAAAGCATGCAGTAATTTCAAAATGTCTGGTGGTTGTTGAGATGAAGATGAACATTTTAAATGTAAGGTAGAAAATTCTGTTTCTGAAGGACAAATGCATAAGTGAGCTCCTTGTTGAAGAGAGACCTTGCTTTAAGTTATTTTTGAAGTTGTCTGGCCAAGTATAAACAGTAGAATGTAGAGAAACATCTGGAAAATCTATATTTTACAAAGTTTGAAAGAAATAATTAGAAGCTTTGGCAAGAATGTCATTTTAGTAAAGATACATTGGGAAATATTGCTTAATAAAACCCCCATTCTTTATTAAAACAAATACATTCATATTTGAATACAAAGTACTATTCTAATTTATGCTATAAACACTAATTACTGTTCAATATTACCCTTTTATTTTTTGCCTATCAGACATTTTCCTATTAATTCTGTGTTTTAAGATTAATACATGCTTATTTTAGATTGGAAAATACTAAATTACTCCTTTCTCTTTTCTCTTTTGTGCAACATTTTAAAGCAAACCCCAAACATTATTTTTATCCTTTTACAGTTTAGTTTGTTTCTCTAGACATATGGCCTTCTTAAAAATAATCACAATGCTATTACTATGCCCAATAACATTTATAATCCTTTCATATCTAAAATGGCTTCAAATAGAGATTTCTGTTTCTTCTTTTTGTGCTTACCATTTAGGGGAAACAGTTTCATCTTTAGCATGTGATTAAAAATGAAAGACTTAAAATATTTTCTCTGGCCTTTTTGGATAGCTTTCCTTTATCTCCGCACCACTGTCCTGGAGTGCTGACAATTTAAATGAAAGTTCTGGCAATGCTCTGCCTCAGAAGCAGCTCCCTTCCTTGTTTTGGGCACAAGTCCAAGTTAAAGTGTACAGGAGGAACTAGTCCAAGCAGGAAGTTATCCAGGAAGCATTTGACCTCTCACAGGCCACTGTAAATGCTTCTTTTTGTTTTTGTTTTGGAAATGTTACCAGGAAAAGTGCTAAGATTCTCTTAGGCCTACAAGACAATGTCCCTGGAAAGTCCAGCCAAAGGTCTTCTTACTTGGGCTTGAATTTGTTTTTTAACCTCTGATTTGATCTATGTTAAGGTCTCTAATGTAGCAAAGTTATTGACTCTTCTGTCCTAAAATGGAGAGATGGAAAGGATGATATGATGGTGTACTTCATAGGCTTTTTCATATTTCTGCAGAAGCTTTGGTATAGGAGAAACTCATAATTTCCTAGTTGTCATGTGAGCTAGGTGTATTTATAATCAGTTAACATTTTTCAGGTAGGTGCCGTGCTTCCATTATGAACCTTATGTTATGACACATAAAGTTTAAAATAATATTACCAAAAAATTTACTGAATGTTATTGGTCCACTTAATTTCAAGACATATTTTATCTGTCATTATAAGACAGCCTGATCTGACTCATCAAAAATAAACATGCACTTCATTGTAGTAACACAGCTAAAGTGAACAATAAGCCAGTGTACACACAATTTAATACTGTGGACAACAGCTGTAGCTGCATTCATTTCTGAATTGCCACTGGCCTGCTCTCTTTCCTCTTGTTTTTTTTTTCTTGCTCATAAGTGAAATGCATAAGCAGGAAGAAGGTAAGGCAGAAACATTTTTATCACAAAGGTAAATGGATTATATTGTAACTCATTTATAGTAGTTGTGGTTAGATGGAGATGAGATGTAAACATATATCTACCTGGAAATGTAGAGCTGGCAAGCATAATCCCATTGCCACCTACAAGAAGTGGTGACCAGATTGGTTATCAGAAGTTTCAGTAAGGAAAATTAAAGAAAGTATAGCAAATAGGATTAGGAGACAAAAAGATGTTACTTACTTGTGTGCTATTTTCCAAAGCTGTTCCCACCTCATTATGAAACTTTATGGATTATTATGTATTATTAATGTTCTGTATGAGACAGGAAAAGAAATGAGGCCATGGTGAGCTGCTCTTTAGCAAAACTTCAAAACTGAAAAAGCTGGGAAATTTGAATGAAGCAGTAATTTAGGGAACTCTGATCCAAGGAAGAGAAAAATTTATGTAGGGGATATTTTGATAACCGGTAAGAACTTGTGGAAAGCACTGAGTTGATGCTGGGCAGCATCAAGTGAGCCAGTGCAGAAGCAGGGAGATGACTGTCGGGCATCACTTTTACCTTTTTCAGGTAAAGTAACTCCTTTGAACTGAGTAGAGTGAAAGAAGGAAGGCAAATGCCCCCTTAATGGTAAAACAATTTAAAGCACATGTGCCATATGAGGAAATTGTATAGCACAAAAAGAACAAAAGCCTCTGTGTCTAAAAATGTGTAACTGAAACTTTGAAAAAAGTTCTGAAATATTTCAGCACCTTTGATGGTATCTTGATGTCTAGATAGACTGCAGTTCTGTATCTGCAAGTGTAAAATAATGCAAAATCTGTTGTGCAGTAAAACCTGACCTGAACAGACATGAGACTGTTTTTGAACTTTTATCTTGTTTGATTATAGGATGTTGTTTCAGATCTGCTTGGCATTTAACAATGTAATTATAGCAAATATTATGTATGCACTAAATACATATATAATTTGTATGCATTAAACACATAATTTTTAAAATTTTGAACAGTTGTGTATTGTGAAACAAATGGAGTTACATTTTGAAATAATATTTTATAGGTCAAAGATAGCACCCTTAAATTTATTCCCTAAAAATCATAGCTTCTGATAACTAAGGGAATAACCACCTGTAAAATAGGTTTTAAATTTGCCTTATGTAATTCCTTGCTTACTTCAAATTCCTTCATATCAGTCAGGTTTTGTTGCGTGGTGGTTTTGGGGTATGTTTAAGGTAAACTTACACCCAGAATGCTGTTAAAAGTTCTAGTGTTTAGGGCTGGGGACATAGCTCAGTGCTCAGCGGTAGACGACTTGCCCAGCAGGTGTGAGGCCTTGGGTTTGATTCCCAACACTGCAAAACAAAACAAAATACAAATGTTTGGCAAGTTTTGGAGAATGTTGGCTTTCCCCTCTTCAACACCTTTTCTGTGTGGGGTGTAATGTGAAAGGCAGTGTAGCCTCTCACAAATTTGGTGGTAAAGGGAAGAAAGAGCAACAAAGAATTAGGAGGGAAGTTTACACATCTAAAAATTATGGTGCTATAATAGATGTGTTAGACAAATATTTGTCTGAGATTGCTGGAGGCAGTGTATTATGTAGTTAATAACCCTGGAGTGAGAATCTAATCGTAATTCACATTTACTAGTCTATTTCTCTAAAATGGAGAAAATTATACCTACTTTGGGTTCTCAAATTATTTCATTTTCTTATTTTCACACACTGATAAGGTATAATTAAATGCTGTGGAGATAATAAATAGCACAATTCTTACTCTATGCAAAATGGAAAGATAAAATTAAGTCCTAGTTTCAAATTAAAGATGAAGATTATGGATATATAGAATGTGTTTTTAAATTTTTTCAGTTGAAAGAATACCTAGAATAGTTGGTGATTGATAACTTTGGACTATAGTGTGTACTAGTGGAGAAAAATTATAGAATCAGGACTGGGGACAGCTCTAATATTGTAATAGATTTAATATTTACTTTCTCATTGTACTAGTATATTTAAGCAAGCTTAATATGTAAAAAAATACATAATGCAAAGTTGGTAAATATATATATATTTAAAAAAATTTTTTTTTGGTACTGGGGATTGAACTCGGGACCTTGTGTTTGTGAGGCAGGTGGCGGAACCGTTGAGTTAAATCCCTGGCCCAAAGTTGGTAAATAGATAAACCCACATTTACACTTTTAATTTCAGGGAAGTGGGAGGGGTAGGGGGAAGGAAAGAAGGGAAAAGAAAAAATATGAGAAAAGGAAAAAAATGGAAACAAAGTCTTTTAAGTGGGGAGGGGTGGAGGGGGTGGAGGGGGTGAAGGGAGGGCAGGAGAAGGGGAAAAAGTAAAAACCAAGATACATCATGTAAAGGTACAAGATCCCAATGATGAATGTCACTATATTGTATGCCTAAAATGTACCAATAAACATAATGGAAAAAAAAAAGATAAACCCACATCATGTAAGGATTTAAAAATAATAATAATAATAATAATACAGTTATCCCTCAGTATTTGTGGGGGTTTTATTCAAAGATCCCCACTGGATACCAAAATGCTTATGTTCCTTATATAAAATGACATAATATTTTCATCACAACACATACTGTAGATCACTTCTAAATTCTTTTAATAGCTAACAATGTACATGATATGTAAGTAGCTGTTATACAATATTGTTTAGAGAGTGACAAGAAAAAAATAGTCTGTATAAGTTTAGTACACAGTTTTTTAATTTTGAGTATTTTTGATCCATAGTTGATTGAATACATAAATGTGAATCTGTGGATATGTAGCACTGACTGTAATTGAAAGCGGCCACCACTGCCACCTCATTGACAGAATTTCTAAGAATTTTAATGAAAGTATGAAGTTCAGAAAACTAGAAGGAAAATCACCAACCATTGCTTTTTCCTCACCTGACATTTTAAATCTTTCTTGTTTGGCAGAGACCCAGTTTCCCAGTAGCCTGTTCCTCACAAACCTTTGGTGCTGAGACAGTCCACTTCTTAGTGATTGGATGGATCTTACAGATGGAATATTGCAAGATTTTGGTGTTATATTTTTAGACCAACTGAGAGTGTCTGAATTTAAATAGCCTTTCTAGTTTTGTTTGCATTGGAGTCTCGAACCTATCTTGAAGTTATTTTGGTTCAGAAAATAACATATTTTCAAGCGTTATTTTTGGTTACTACTTACTTGTGACTATTCAACTGATGAAAAATGACCGGCTCCAGACAGAAAAACTAAATCAGTAAAGAAAAGGCTTTTAAGTCTCACATTATTCTTTCTGAAGTGCTGTAGATGGCTCATTTCTTTTTTAATTTACAAATTTTATTTATTCATTTATTTTTTGGCAGTGCTAGGGATTGAACTTAGAGTCTTGAATATGCCAAGGAAGGCACTCTATTGCTGAGCTACACCACCAGCCTAAATTTTATTAATGTATAATTACATGCAATGAAATACATAGTTTTGTTTTAAAATATGTGTACAACAATATAACTCAACCCCAATCAAGACACACAACATTCACTACATTGTACAGAATCTCCTAAGGAGATTTTATTTTGACTTACTTTGTAAGCTTATTTGATTGCGTTTCAGACCAGGTGTTCTGACTTCAGAGGCTGGGTTCTTAACCACTATACCATACTGGTTTCCTAACTGAAAGTTTATATTTTCTACATTTACAGGATACGTAGTTTGCCTAGTATAGTCATATGCTTATTGCTTATTTCTTATGGGTAGATATATTAACAAAGTAATAGCATCGTCATTCATCCTGAAACCTTGGAATCATCTATCTTATTCTATCTTTTTCTTAATTTATGGCATCTAATAAGTAATCAAGTTCTTGCAAAACCTTTATAACATCTCTTGGTTCTTGCCTCTTAATGTTACCAGAAGAAATATCTTAATAGTTTATTAAAATATGTCATTCATTTTTTGGTATTTGGTTCGGCTACAAAAGTTTGTTTTAATAACAAAACATTTTTATTAACAAGATAACATCCACGATTGTATGTAGACGCATTGTTCTCTATGCTTTATGGAGACCGGGTAAGTCTTTGCTCATACCTCTGTATGTTTGTTGAATTAGAGAGATTTTGTGACACAAGTGTTTTCTTTTTCTTTTCTTTTCTAGGCCTTTTCCAGATTTCTCAGAACAAAGTAGCAGTTCTCCTTCTAGCGGGTGGGCAGGGGACAAGACTTGGAGTTGCATATCCCAAGGGGTTGTATGATGTTGGTTTACCATCCCGTAAGACACTTTTTCAGATTCAAGCAGAGCGTATCCTGAAGCTACAACTGTTAGCTGAAAAATATTATGGCAACAAATGCATCATTCCATGGTAAGATATGTTTCATTGGAGTGTCTGAACATGTATTGTTTTATAATATTAAAAATTCATGTATAACTTATTTATAAGCAGACCCATTTCCTGTTAGTACTGATTTTGTTGGAAAATATAATTTTCTATATGCTAACAGTAATACATATTATAACTAGGTAGATGACCTCTATGGCCTTAATGAGCAATATGTACTCACTTTTTTTTAATCTCCAAGTACCTTTAGAAGTACCTTTTAGAGGGCTGGGGATTTAGCTCAGTGGTTCTGCCACCTGCCTCGCAAGTGCGAGGACCAGAGTTCGATCCCCGGTACCAAAAAAGAAGTACCTTTTAGAACTCAGCGGATTAGTCTAAACTTCATATTGGTTGATACTTTTTCTAGGTATAGAATTTCATATTAAAAATCAGTTTCCTTCTGAACTTGAAGGCATTGCTGTATTATTTCCAGCATTGCTGTTGAGATGTCTGATGCATTGATTCCTAATCACTTTCTTTTTCCTCTTTGAAAGATTTAGGATCTTTCTTTACCTTTAGTATCTGATTTCATCCTGACCCGGTATGGGTCTATTTCAGCCACTGCTCTGGGTACTCAGTGGGCTCTATCAATCTAGAACAGTGATGGCAAACCTTTTGGAGTCCGAGTGCCCAAACTACTTGTGATGTCATTACCTGGTGCCGGTACTCCTTTCCAAGCATGTGTATGGCCCGTGTGTGCTGTTATCCAATGCTTAGCCACTGGAGCAATGCTGGGACATCTTGACTCTTGTGCCAACAGAGAGGGCTCTGTGTACCTGCTGCCACACATGCCATAGGTTTGCCACCACTGGTTTAGAAACTCACATCAGGTTCTAGGTTATCTAGGCACCTGCCCCCCCCCCCCCCCCGCCTTCCACACACACACTGGATGAAAGCTGCATTGATTTCTTTGGTGCGTTAAACTTCTGTTCTCAGGTTCTACCAGTGCGCTCTATTCTTAGAGCCTCTTCCTTGGTGTTAAACATGTCTCCTAGTCCGCCAGAGATTGCAAGAATGGTTTAGCTCCTTAATCACTTTCCCAGAGCAGTTTTGAATGTTAGTATGTTTTGAGGGGAAAATCAGCTATGGGGTTTGACATCTCTCAGGTGCCTGTCTTACTATTTCAGTCCTATTGACCAACAAAAGCTCTTCTGGTTTCTCTTTTGCAGATTCCCCACCCCTTCCAGGTGCCCCAGATCAGTAGATACCCTCAGGGCAAGGCAGCTGTATATTTTTAATTTCCCTTTGAAAGGTTCTTTTTTTCTGGGTCTTTAGTTCCAATAGGTGTTGTTTCTACAGCTCACTGATTCCTTTCAATTTTGTGTGTGTGTGTGTAATTTTCCCAACTTTTCCCCCCTAGCTTTTCTAGCTCCTCTGAACACTAGTAACAGCCTGCTATGAGCTTTTTTTCCCCCCTATTGAATTCCTGTGGGAGTTTTTGAAGGACATGTGTATTTTAAGTGGGCAACATCTTACAGTCCTGGCCCTTTACTATCATTTTGGATTTTTTTTCTCTTTCCTTTCATTTTGTTCTTGCCCTATGCAGACTAGTTGAGCCATCTCTTTTGTCATCTGAATCCTGTTTTGTTGTTGTTGTTTTTTAACCAGAAGTTCAAATTACCCAGAATCATTCATTAGATAAATATTGATGTAGTAGGAATCAGGTATTTTATTCATTCATTCAACAGAGTGCTAGGGATTGATCAGTTGCCACAAAAGAAGAAAACCCCTACCTACCTATATGTAATTTGTATTCTAGTCCCAAAACTGCTGCAGTTATCAATTGTTACTTTAGATAGAAATTTTTCCTTTGCTATACTAGCATAAATTGAATTTTTGTGACAATAATATATATAATTATAGTTTTATGATTCCAAATGTAAGGTAACAGAACCTGGATTCCATTGCAAATTTCAATAAAGAGAACAAAGGATAATCAGACTGTATTGCAGTTATCTTCTGTCCCAATTTATTTGGAATTGAAGTATTAAATTTAAAATACACTTTCACAGAGTTATAAGTGTTTACTGAAGCTGAAAATAGAGTCTGTGCTGCAGAAAATATGTTTAATATTGTTAAGAAGTTTTATTTTGTACATAAAGATTGATAAAATTAATGCTAGAAAATCTTGAGTTGCAGCTAGTTTATGTGTCTTATCCAGGAAAAAGGCAAAAGATGTCAAAATAACAAGCGAGTGCTCTCAAATATTTTCTTTAGCTTAGGAAATATATAAAACTTTATTTTGCCCTACATTGCATAGTACTATTGCTTAGAAAAATCTTCTGATTTTTCTTGTAAGGTATATAATGACCAGTGGCAGAACAATGGAAGCAACAAAGGATTTCTTCACAAAGCACAAGTACTTTGGTTTAAAAAAAGAGAATGTAATCTTTTTTCAGCAGGGAATGCTACCTGCTATGAGTTTTGATGGGAAAATTATTTTGGAAGAGAAGAACAAAGTTTCTATGGCCCCAGGTTTGTAATCCTTATTTAATGGTTGACTGGAAATGATAACATAAATCATCAAGTCTTAATTTTTTTTTTAAATGGTGATTTGAATGTTAAAAAATCAATATATTTAATTTTTTTTTTTTTTTTGCAACTTGACGATTATTTAAAAAAATGAAAATTGTCCATTGGTGGAATGGACACATTTTTTACCTTTTGTGGCTGTCTGCCCAAAAGAGCAATTTGAATAGCATGCAGGGTATTCATACTCTTATGAATACCCAGTATTTTATATATACAGCAGTGTTGATAGCTACATTATTTATTGTAGTGAAAAATTGGAAAACATTTGCTGTTTAATAAGTTAGAGACTAAAATCATAGTATATAAATGGACTATATTCTTAAGTAGTATTAAAATAATTGTTTAGAGACATTAAGTGACAAAGAAATCATTTTGATTAGTTAAGAGAATACAAATGCTCTTCAGGTGTAGGCTTTTATTCCTCTTAATTCCTTTTTTTAAAAAAACTTAATTCTTTTTAATTAATGGAAGTTTGTTATTCTTAGTTTTATTTTAGGAAATTGCCTAATTTTTTGTCATCATTTAAGCAATGGCCAAGGTTGTTGATGGGAGAGTTACATTAAAACAACACAAAAAGTAGATGGGAAGACGGTTTTACTTATATTTAGTTTAAATCACCATAGACCTTCATATCAAACTTGTGCCTTAAGAAGAGGTTGGGTATAAAATGATCATGTATTTTTATTTCTGAGATGGGTGAAATGGTCAGTCAGGACTATAAGTAGAGAGCTATTTTGAGTCATAGAAATTTTAATAAAACTTGAAATCTTATGAAAAATTATTGCCTCATAAAGAATTTTATTTTGCTCAATGTATGTATTGTAGGCTAAATTATTTAAAAGGATTTAATTGAAAAGAAAATAGTCTTTAGGGTTACCTGGTTCTACATTGATAATGGTGCTCTGTGAATACTTATGCTAAATAACCTTAAAAATCTCAAAATCGTGTCATATAACTTTTGACACTTGAATTCTTTCTTATGGATATTTAGTTTTCTTGGCTCTTAGTATAAAACTGTTTTTTCAGAGATCCCCACCCGACTTTGAGTTGTACTTACAGTGAATTTTTGTGTGCTACCAATGGCTGTTTTATTTTCCAGATGGAAATGGGGGTCTTTATCGGGCTCTTGCAGCCCAGAATATTGTGGAGGATATGGAACAAAGAGGCATTTGGTGCATTCATGTCTATTGTGTGGACAATATATTGGTAAAAGTGGCAGACCCACGATTTATTGGATTTTGCATTCAGAAAGGAGCAGACTGTGGGGCAAAGGTAATACTTCTCAATTATAGTGAGTCTTTAAATGGTATTTTTCTGTCAGTATAAATATTCCAGGGATGAAACCTGGCTTGTTCGAGTGATTTGAATATTTTAAATCGATTCATCTCTCTAGCCTATCCCATACCCACTTTTTTTCTGTAATTGGCAACACTTGATTCTAGAAGTAATGTAGTATACTTGTCAACCATAATGAGAGTTTTAAATATGTGGGGAAGTAAATGATTATTACTAGACTTGGGGTAAATTCATTAACATCAAGTTGCTTTCAGTCAGATTAATCTGCTTTTTTTCCTATGACAAAGTTACTGGAGTAGTAGGTAAGAGCAATATAGTAGGAATAGCAGATTTGGGTTTTTTGGTTTTTTTTGGCACGGGGATAGAACTCGGGTCCTTGAGCTTGCGCAGCAAGTGGCGAAACCACTGAGCTAAATCCCCAGCCTAAGGAATAGCAGATTTTGACTTCACTTAGACATTTGACAACATATCTCTTGATATTCTTATGAATAAAATGGAAATTTGCAATTGGGGATAAGGGTGTTTAAGGAAGTTAATACTGCTGGAATTACCACTGGCATACTGATAATAACTTGGAGGTAGGTTTGGACTGCTATGTGATGACTGTCCTTGGCATTGTTCTTCTCAACTTTTTTGGTTGCACAGGTGATGATGTAGGAAGCATACCTTTATGGTAGTAGACAAAGTATATGATTAGCCAGAAATAAAATGGAAATACACAAGGCTTTAAAAATATTGGAAGGCTTAAAAATATTGATATAAACATTACTTTTCTGGAAGTTTGCAAAGGTATTCATTCTTTTTAAAATTAATTTTATTGGTACATTTTAGGTATAGAATATAATGACATTCATCATTGGAGATTTGTACCTTTACAAAATATATCTTGATTCTTATTTTTCCCCTTTCCCCTACCCTCCCTTCAAGCCCTCCACCCCTCCCTATTTACAAAGACTTTGTTTCTGTTTTCTCATTTTCTCATATTAATTCCATTCCCCTCTAGCAGTCTCAGTCAAAGTCCCAGTGAGACTAGTTTGGGGACATTTGACAGAATGATTATAAAGATTAGAGCCAACATGTAAAGATGGCCAGAAAAATGTTGAAAGGGAAAGGAGACTGGAGGCAATCTATCAGATATTAAAGTTAATTATACATAAAAACTAACTAGAAGTTAGTACTAGTACCAGAATAGAACAACAGATAAATGGAAGTGGAATGGGTCAGCCAGAAACAGATTCATGTGTGTAAGAAGGCAACATATAAAAGTGACATTTCAAGTTCCTCAGTTACCTAAGTTTTCTTGGTTTCTACTCCCCATCCACCCTTCCCAAGCTCTAGTAACCATTCTTTTACATTGAGATTGATTTTTTTAGTTTCCATGTATGAGAGAGAACATGTAGTGGTTGTCTTTCTGTGTCTGACTTATTTCACTCAATGTCCTACAGTTCCATCCATTTTACTGCAAGTGATAGAATATCATTTTTATGGCTGAATCATATTGTTTTGTATATATACATATTCTTTATCCCTTCATCTGTTGAGGAACATCTAGGTTAATTCCATAACTTAGCTATTGTGAATTGTGCAGCAGTAAACATGGTGGCACAGATACCTCCTTCACATGCTGACTTCATTTTCCTTGGAAATATGCCCAGTAGTTGGATTGCTGGATCATATATTAGATCTATTTTTAATTGTTTTTAGTGGCTATACAAATTTACATTCCCATCAACAGTGTGTAAGAGGTCCCTTTTCTGTACATCTTTACAAGCATTTGTTATTTGTCTTTTTGATACAAGCCATTTTAACTGGAGTAAATATAAAATGATAAAGAAATAGAAACATTAATTACCCTGATTTGATCATCACACATTTAAACATGTATTGGAATATCATACTGTGCCTTATAAATATGTACAATTATTACATGTTAATAAAAAATTTTAAAATATTGAGGTAGAAATGCTAACTACTGTAATTTGACCATTACACATTATATACATGTATTGAATTAGCACACTGTACCCCATAAGTATGTACAGTTAATTTTAAAAGTGAAAAGAAAAAAACATTTCAATTTAGTCGTGGATATGAATGAAACAAATGGCTAAAAATAGAGTAAAAATGGAGTAAATGTGTGAAAGTTTACACCAATGAACAAAACAAACTGGTAATATAAATGAAACAAATTAGCATTGATCTTAAAATCTTTGTGGAGCAACAGAATAGATAATTTGGGATAGATAATTTGTTTGAACTTCTCCCTATTTCCTATTTATCTATTTCCTATTTTGCTCACTCAGAGAAAGAGTTTCTCGTATAAAAGAAACCATAAGAAAATTTTGCCCCTTTATTTGCTTTCTTCTTTGTGAGAGAGAATCTTCTTTTGTTTATGACTTATATTCTGAATAACATTTTGGCTGTTCTTTTAAGATCATAATACATAGTATATTAACCATTGTTATTCTCTAATTATTTTGTTAGGAAATTTTGTTTTATTTTTTATAGAAGTTTTTCATATCTTATTAATATCTGCTTGTATTATATTAAAGAGGCAGGCGGTAGAACCACTGAGGTAAATCCCCAGCCCTGTATTACATTAAAGAAAGTTCATACCAAAATAACTTTCAAATGGAAAGTTAAATATAAAAAAGTTACAAAAGTATTAGAAGAAAATTTAGAATAATTTTATAATTTTGATGTAGTAGGAAGACTGTTCTGCCAAAAGCAGAAACCATATAGGCTTCTGATGAAAACAAACTGCATATAAATTTGAAATATCTGGCTTTAAAAAGGAGACCTGTCAAGAGAGACATGCCATGTTCTTGGTTGGAGAAAATGGTAAAATATCATTTCTCTCAAAATTAATCTGTAAATCTAATGCAAAGTCATGTCCAGAAACTGAAATCTTAAAGTTATTATGACTTTTGAAAACTTAAATTGATAGTTGTGGTACAACTTCTTCTGACTCTGAAAATAAAGATTTGGTTTCATATATTTAAGACATCTGTCCACTCCCGAGTATCTGTAGAGTATAATGCATTTTAAATAGCTCTAACATGTAAGAAAAAACATAAGTGTATTGGGTCCTAAGTTGCTATGAAGCTTAAACTCAGAAAACTAAAATAGTGTATTTCTGATGTGTTCCACTTGGTGTCACTCTTCTTTTTAAAATAGAAAATTAATTTTTCATGGCTATAAGCTTCAGAATCGTATAAAGGTTATATATGACCAGAGAGGGTTGAACCTGAATGGGACCTCAGAGAATATATGGTTGACCTGTTTGATCTCAGAAATTACCACCTCCCAGTACTTTATAAGTCCCAAGGTCAGGGCTGACATTAGCAGAGCCAGGATTAGAATTCTGTTTCCCACCTTGAGCCTCTCTGTCAATGTCACATTTTACAGCTGCGCTCTTTAGACCAGCTATGCATTTACTGGCAGCTCAAAAACTTTAAACCTGTGTGCTAACTTTGGACTGCACACTTATCACATAGAGGAGATGCAGTGTTAACTTTATCTTCTCTATTGCCCTTAAGCGCTTTGGAATACAGCCAGGCTCTTCCTTGTAGATTATTGCTTAGTTCTGTGTTTAGCATTTAATGTATCAGTGAATGAATAAATAAGTATTCACAGAAACCCAAAATGTGACTGACATATTAAAAATTTATAAATATTAGGAATCATTTAAATAAGAAAAGGTATTAAAATATAGATTTAAGTATCTTAGGCAGTGATTGAGAGTATGGTAGTAGAATTCTTCGTAGTACTTCAATAGGCCTCTCATAAGTACAGTAAGTGCTTAATGGAGTGAGAGCATTGGGAAAAGACTTAGGGATAGTTTACAAAAGTACAAAGCTAAGAAGGTAGGAACAGTTGTTAATGGAGATAATTTTGTAAAGCAGTTTCAATAATTTTGTTATTTTGAGTTCTTTTCAGAATTTAAACTATGGAATATTGAGCCATCCTTTTAATTTTATACTGTGTATCTTTTCTGTGTAATATAAACTGACTTCCAACTTTGTGCAGTTTCCAAATGCAGTTTCTATAACTTAGACTTCTATAATATTTAGAGGTGAATAAGTAAACCTTACACCCACAGATTAACACTTGGAGAATATAAAGTATGAATATACTTATTTTTACTTTCTGTTGCTGGTTGGAAGAGGGTATGTAGAGGTGCTTAGAAAATAAACCGTGTGTGTAAAAAAAAAAAAAAAATAGGACTGAGAGGAATGTGTTTCAAAATTCCCTGCCTGGGAAAATACCCACTGTAGAATATATGAATTAAGAGGTGGTGATGGGTTGATAGACTCATGATTGGTTTAAATCATTTTGCTGTACATTTCCTTCTAGTTTAATCCACTTCCTTGGTAAAAAGTTTCTTTTTATCAAGTACTGTGCTCTGAAATTTTCAGGGAGGCAAACAGTGCAACTACTCAGGAGCTTACATATCCAGTTGCCCGGCCTCACTGGGCTCAAGACTCAGTGCCTATGTCTATAATTGCAGGGTAAATGAAGTTCTCAATAGTGGCATTAGTTGTCTGGAAGAGACTGGGCCTGGCTGGATTTATTTTCAGAAATCAGTTGCTGAAGAAAAGTTTGAAACTTATTGACACAAATTCATGTATACTTAGGATACACTTTTCAAACTAGGGATAGATTTTTGAAAATATTCTGAAGCATGTAGAATAAATTGTTAATTGGACAGAATAAATAAAACAGTGCCTTCACATGGTCTTTATTGTTGGAGTCTTGTGTTAGTTTTTCATTTCATCTGAACTTTGACTTTATATTGGTGCTTGGCTTACAATGCTTTCATAATTTTCTTTTTAGTATTTAACTTGGGTCAGTGATGTTGGGATTAGGGGGGGGAGGCATATCGGAATTCTTAAAAATTATATTCTTACCTTTTCCCTCTGATTTTGGTATGTACTCCTCTCCCAGTTCCCCACCTAGCCAAAAGCCATTATAAATTGTCAAGTCTCTTACTTCAAACAAAATCAGGTATGCAGGATGGGTTAATATAGGTAGGTTTTTTCTGATTGAAGTGGAAGTGGAGGCCCAGTGACCTGCCTGCTTTAACACTCCTTCCTCCTGTGCCTGCAAATCAAATTCAACACTTTATTCATGAGTGAAAATTGAAGAAACACTCTTTTCAAATGAAATAATGATCTGGGCAATATAAAATGAGAGGCAAAATGCTTAAGTCTTTTGTCTTGTGAATCCTAGATAAATTTCTTTTATTCTCAAAGTAGTTAAATGTGGTTAAGGATAAGAAATTTAAAAATGTAAGGTATTTGGGAAATACAGATTTCTCATTTAATTATTCTTATCCCTGTGTGATTTCCTCTGGACTATATGTGCATGATGGTATTTCTACCCTGCTTTGGTTAAGTGATATGTAGGAAGGAGAGTGTACTTCGTATTCAGTTGGAAGGTAGTCTGTGACAGAATATAATTGTCTAAAGTTCAAGATTCCTCTTGGTTAATTCCTTAAAGACAGTGAGCAAAATTGTACATACGGGCTTTGACAAATGGCACATCTCCAAAGGAGCATTCAATTAATTTTTTTCTCTGGCTGTTATCTCTTTTTGGTGGGCAGGTAGTAGAGAAGACAAACCCTACTGAACCAGTTGGAGTGGTTTGCCGAGTGGACGGCGTGTACCAGGTGGTAGAATATAGTGAAATTTCCCTGGCAACAGCTCAAAAACGAAGCTCAGATGGACGACTGTTGTTCAACGCGGGCAACATTGCTAATCATTTCTTCACCATACCATTTCTGAGAGATGTTGTTAAGTATGGACAAGATGGGGGCCTTTTAACATTTTTATTGTTTTAATTAGAAGCTTAGCTTCTTGGGAGGTAGGCAAACACCCCATGTTCATGTCCCACAGAATTCTCTTCCCTGAGGATCGTTTATATGAAATGGAAATTTATCTCCTGTGGTGATTTTTAGCAAGATATAAGATGGAAATTAGTGGGAGTTCTTCCCCCAGTCATTTACTGGGGTTCAAAGCATTTCTTTTTTTCACACCCTCCTAGTCTCCTGTGTGTTGGGTTTTGTTGAAGCCAAAAATAGGAAATAAAACTCTCTTTATTACAACTGAGAGCATTTTAAAAATATATGTTTACTCTATACCAACTGAATAAGAATTTATGAGGTAGATCCAGAGCATGCATATTTTTGAAAAGCTCCTCACGTAATTCTAATTCAACTGTTTCCCAGAGTGGCGCTTAGAACCTCATGCATTATTAAGGAATGAAGAAAAAAGGACTTGAGACTTGAATGAAAATTACCATGGTAGTACCACAAAGTATAAAATAGCTGTTGTACCCCATCAGGTTTCTAAATGAAGGACATTTTCTCTGTAAGTCACTTGATAGCTTTCAGACATTCAGGATTATCTACTTTTTTTTTTTTTTTTGGTACCGGGGATTGAACTTGGGACTTTGCCCTTGCAAGGCAGGCGGCAGAACCACTGAGCTAAATCCCCGGCCCAGGATTATCTACTTTTTAAAAGCTAGTAAGATTTATTTAAATTTTTAAATTGACAAATAATGCATATGTTTAGGGTACATTGTACTATTTTCATACATGTATGCATCATGGAATGATCAAATCAAGCTAACTAAGCTTTACTGTAGTTTCAAACGATTTTCCATTTTACTTTGTTGCTTGTAGCTGTTACTATATAATGACATCAGCCATAATAACTTTTTTTTGGCGGTGGTTCTGAATTGAACCAAGGGCCACACAGTTGTTAGGCAAGTGCTCTACCACTGAGCCATACCCTTAGCACTTAAAAAAATTACTTTGAGATATTATCTCATTCAATTGCCTACCTGGCCTTGAACTTAAGGTCCTCCTGCCTCAGCCTCGCATGCAGCTGGGATAGCAGGCCTCTACCACTACATAGCTCATAGTAACTTTTATTACCTTTCCATACTGCACTCAAAGGGATCTTAGTTTGGAAAGTTAGGGCTGTGAGTACATTTTAAAAAGACATGGAATTAATGGGCAAGACATTGGCATGAATGCTATGTATTTATGTTTGTGTGTGGTCATTATAAAATGTGGAAATCATTGGACTTTTTTAAATGTAAGGAAATGAATAGGGAATGTATTCATTATATTTAAATATGAGCTGAAATTTTAAAATGCTGTTCATTTTGGAAATCTTAGTGCTGGTTGGTGATGTATTTCCTCCTGAGTGTCATTCAAGTTTATGGCATTTTAAATCTGGAAAGTGATCACACCTTTTTTTTCCCTTCGTAGTGTTTATGAACCTCAGCTGCAGCACCATGTGGCTCAAAAGAAGATTCCATATGTGGATTCTCAGGGGGAGTCAGTTAAGCCAGAAAAGCCAAACGGAATAAAGATGGAAAAATTTGTCTTTGATATCTTCCAGTTTGCAAAGTATGCTTTGAATAGCACCAGTAAGATTAAACATATGTCTTGAAATGTTGCTTCTTACTTTCTTAGGCAGGAAACATGTGACAGCCTGTGTCTCAGGCATTTTGGTTGTGAGTACAGAGTCTAGATTCATTATCGTTCTCCAGTGCTAACTGGCACTCCAAGGTTTGTGGTGCCTGAGAGTGCAGTGTTCTTATTACCAATATTTTCATTATCTGGCTATGCTGCGAAGTTGTTAGTCATTTATCTTTGGGTAAGAGACTATAGTAAAAGTAAGGTAAACAATTGAGCCATTTTGTGTTTAGGATATAGGACTGACCTATGAATAAATGTTTCAGAGAATATGCTTTTAGAGTATATAGCTCTCTCAAGATCACATTGGATGTTGAGGTACATGTCTCAGAATTTGACCAGTGTGAAAATGAAGAAGACAAATTAGCTGGATATGATCAGTCTCCCCATATGCATTTCTAAAGCGTCTTTGTTTTTACCCCTCAGAGCATATGGCAAAATGATTTTTGTTCATTAAGAGTTCTAGTCTTTCTGATCTAAGATGAAATATTTTCTAGTTGGGAATGAACTGATTTCTCATTTTGTACTGGAAAATTCCAACTTTGTTTAGTCCAGGGATGAGCCTTATTCATTATCCAAAATGGGATTCAGAAAGCCTATCATTGAATGCCAAAGGCTTAGCTGTGTAGAGAGAGGTAGAAAGCTGTGTATGCGGTTTTATTTAATAAGAAAGAAGTCTTTGTACGTTTTACTCTAGGAAGTTTGTGGTGTATGAAGTATTGCGGGAAGATGAGTTTTCCCCACTAAAGAATGCAGACAGTCAGAATGGGAAGGACAACCCTACGACTGCAAGGCATGCTTTGATGTCCCTTCATCATTGCTGGGTCCTCAATGCAGGAGGCCACTTCATAGATGAAAATGGTTCTCGCCTTCCAGCAATTCCCCGGTAAGTTCATGTCGTTTCTCATTGGTGTGGGTACTTTCTTGGATTTTTTTTTTTCTGGACTTCTTCCTTTCCGTGGTGTATGTCTAGATCTGTTTTTAAAAACCAGAGTATTGTTGTGTGGGGAGTTACTGGTGTGAAAGACCAACAGCTTTGTCCACCACAAAGAGAAGAATAGCTTTACTTTTTCTTAAAGAGGAGTCACTTCTGGATCTCTTGGGTTTCTTGAAAACATTCCCACCATGTCAATGAAATCACTCCTACTGGGTCCGAAGATAATTATTTTGGCATTTTGTATGGTTAAAACCCATCAGCGGCACACTCCACCACAGGGTATATCCCTCTGGCCCAGAGGACTGGTGTTGCTACTTATGTATCCATGTCCTCACTGCAGGTGTTGTCTATGAAACCTACCCAAAGCCTCTCTACCTAAGAGATGTAGCCCTTCTCACCATGCAGTCGGGGAGGTTCCCGGGATGCCAGATGCATTCACTGATACTCAAACTTTAGAAATATTTTAGTTTTTCTGAAGTGAAAAGAAGAAGGTATCTGCAGCCAATTGTGTTTGAGATCCAGCACTTTTAAGCTAAATCTTATATTTTATGATAAAACTTTCATTGGCACCTGGAATTTCCCTTTCTGAATCTGAATCTGAATTTGGTATTTCTGTAGGTAGGTAAGAAGCCATTTAATTTATATTCTTAAGGGGAGAAATGCCTGGCTGTATGCACAGAAGTTCTAGAATGCCTCAGTGAATGTTAGCACTCTGGGCATGGGAACTCATTGTTCCATAACTTTTTACAAGAAAGAACAGTGTTAGCTTCTCTCCTGGCCCAGGCCATTTACAGATTCTGCCTTCTCAACAAGCTTGCTCTGTGGGATGTCACGTTGTTCTCATGCTTCATCATTGACCATTGAATCTGTTTTTTGTTGTTTTTTAAATCCCTTTAGGTCCCTTGTACCAAATTTATGATTTGCCATAAATACATGCCATTTGGTCAAGTATATTTTGCAACTCCACTACATTGTTACTGTTTGATTTGTTTCCATTCCCATTAATGCTTATTTATTCCTACATAGCAGTGCTACAAATGGAAAGTCAGAGACCACCACAGCTGATGTCAATCACAAGTAAATATACCAGCCTGCCTGCAGTGCATGGTGGTGGGCTGTGCTTCCCTCCATACTAACTGGCATTGTAGTTTAGAGCTCTGCCTTGGGGGCCTGGAGGGTGGATGATTGAAGCTTTGGTGGGGGTGCACTGCTTACTTGGTGGCAGGTATCTGTCTGGATGACACTAACTCAGAATCTCAGTGCATGCCTGAAGTGGGGAGCATGCTTTACAAAAGAATCTGTGTTTAAGCCAATAGTGATAGATTGACAGGTGTTATAGGGGGTCCAGAGAAGGTTACAGGACAGGGAGGACAGATTGGGATCCCAACTTGCACATTTTAGCATAAGCTAAATAAAAGTAACGTTCTTTAATTCGTTTTTTTTTTCCCTCTTTTGGTGTGGGAGGTTGATTCCTAGAGCCTTTGCGCTATGTCCTCACCCCTCTTTTTTTTTTAAGAAAAAAGAGTTACTGTCCAGGCTGAGTTTAAACTTGTGATCCTCCTGTCTGAGTTTCCCAGAGTGCTGGGATTAGAGGCATGTGCCATCACACTTGGCCAAAAGTAAAATTCTGAAAGTGTTTTTTACCAAATGGGATATATGCTTTCAGTATAAAGGCTAACTGTTCCTGACATATATGATGGCCCTTAATATAGAGAAAACTGTTCTTTTGATTTATTCTCTTTTGGTTACTGTGTTTTATTTTAGTTTTACTTAGTTGCCTTGCTTCTAAAGCAAATAATTTTTTTTTGTCTTAACAGGTCATTTTTAGCTAGAAGTAGCACATATCCTCTCTTGTTTGGGCATGACAGATTTAAAAAGCAATTTTATCTTTATGGCTAAAGAGCCAGGTGTATTTTCCAAGTTATTAGGTTTAGTTTGAATTTTTTGGGGGGGGCGGGTACCAGGGATTGAACTCTAAACCTTGTGCTTGCAAGGCAGGCGGTGGAGCCACTGAGCTAAATCCCCGGCCCTTGAATTTTGTTTTTAAGGTACTTTGGGAAGTGTGTTAGGACGAAGGATCTGGAAATGGAAGTTGTCTCAGAAATAGAGCAGCATTGGTAACAGTTTCATCCACATGCTTTGTTTTATCCTGCTTATCTCTGCCCCTGGGTGGCAGGTATCTGTTTGGATGACACTAACTCAGAATTTATAGGGACAATTCCCTGTGAGTGGCAGTATCTGGGAGTGAAGACGGGAGATTGAACTCCAAGACCTGGCTAGTTTTCTCTAGGAGGCATAGATGACTCTTGTCTTGGGTACAGACATGCAGATCTCTTTGTCATTTTCTGTCCCATCCATCATTTTTAATATGTGGTAGCAGCAGCGTTTATTGTTTAAGAAATACAACTTTGACTCTGAGTTTTTTTCTTACTAAACCATAGCTTTAACTTAAACCTTTCAACTTAAAAGTGAATTTTTTTCTTAATTATACAGCTGACAACAAATTCAGCTATCCTTGTTAAGATACAAAAAGTTTTAAACATTATCATTCTTATTTGGGTGGTTTCGTTTAGTCCTTACCTTCCTTCCATTTACTTAATTTTAGCCATTGGGAGAATAATTAAACTGATTTTGGCTCCAAATGACATCATGGGCTTAAAAATGGTTCCTGCTAAAATCCTTAGCCCCAAAGGATGCCTTTAGAGAATTGGAAGAGATTACTTAAAAGTGAGATGAAAGGAAATATTTTGTGTACAAGAGAGAAGAAACAGTTTGGAGACATTCTGAGAGAATGGAAACAGGGTCACAGAGTTTTGACAAAATGCCATTGTTTCTATTTTTCACATTAAAGCTCATCAGCAGTGCTTCCAAAAGGATGCTTGGCTGAGGATTTTGGACAGTAGTGTGACTGGCTGGGTTAATCAGCCTGTAAACTTAGATTCTACATTTGGTGATGCCAGCTTCTGTCTTCCCTCCTTCAGGATATACTACTTTGTTTGTGAAAGTTGAGTTTCTTAGTGGTTTTGGGTGTCACTGTGGTACTGGAAGGAGGTTATTTTTCAGATCAGCTATATATGTGTTCCCTGGGCTCAAAGCCACATTCCGATCTTGGTGCCCTGAATTTTTCAGGGGATTAGATGACACTGTACTGTATACATTTTATCAGTAGAATGGGCCCCGATTTTTCACATTTGCTTTATTACACTGAGCTGCTCTAGAGGGTTTGATCTCTAGACCTCTTGTGATAGAATCTGGCACATATCTGAAGAGATGTATACCCAGTCTCTGCTTCTTCTTTTCTCTGCATTAGGCCATCATCCATCTACCTTCTCAGTTCATTTATTCATTCAGTCTGCAAGCATTGGTAGGCCTGCTCACAGGCCTATAGGTGCTGCTGGTAACATAGGTGCTTAAAGTATCTTCCGTAAGAGAAGTAGGATTTATAGCCTGCTGGGAGTTCAGGATGCAGTTCCATAAAAACTAAGTGACATTGTTAGGCAATATATGATTATGTACTCTGTGGTGCAGTGCTTAATTGAGGAATTAATGAACTCAGCAGGTTGTATAATTAATTTATTTTATATGAACAGATGAATGGGAATAATCATTATCAAAAGGAGGTTGGGGTTTGAGCTAAATCATGGAGAATGAGTATGATTTTTATGGTCAGAGAGACCATAGTTGAGAATGACTTGAAAAAATCCAGAGTGTGGAACTGGCCTGGTTCAGTGGAAAGTAGCAGGATTAAATGAGTTGGAGTGGGATATATAGAGTGCCTTGCATGCTACTCAGTGTTTCCATTTGGAGAATGACTGGCCTGTGGCTAACCTCAGAAGCTCTTTCATTTTATTGATTCCACCGAAGTTTGAGATTTCATATTTGGGAAAGAAGAGCTATGGTTTGAGGCTACAGAAGACTGGACTTTTATGTGGGATCTGTCCTTATTGGTAAGATTGCTGAAATGGCAAATACTGTAGCAGTCTAATGATTGTAAAAGTATTGAAAATACTATTTGTAAACTTTTATGTTAGTCTACAAATTCAGAATTGCAAATGGCTATGAATATTAGATTGTTTCCTAGAATTAAGTGAACCGTGGCTTTGGCTTTGCATTTGATTGGGTGCATTCTGCTTTCGCACTTTTTAGAGAGTTTTGGTAACAGAAGTACTTTGAAACATAATGAGTAACTAATTTAGCCAACACAGGAGATTTAAATGATGCAAAAAAATGGTGTCCTGGGAAGTAATTGAACTGATATTTAGAACGGTGCTGTCTACTGGAACTTTCTGCAGTGAAGGAAATAAATATACTTGTGCTGTCCAGTTTGGCAATCCCTGGCCACTGCTGAGCACTCGAAAAGTGATTATTGTGACTGACATTGAATTTTTAATTGATTTAAAAAATGTTAATTAAGTAGCCATCCATTGCTATCGGCTACTATATTGGACAGTGCAGCTCTGTATTGTTTGTCAGCATTAGCGCCTGAGTCAAAAGATTGTAGTGAAGGTTAAAACAAAGTACAAAGGATTCAAGATACCTAGCAGGGGGACTGGCACATAGTGCACACTCAGTAGTCCCTTCTTACCAATTTTATGAAACTTGGAAATCGTAAAGAATTGAGATACTGTATATGCAAGGGGATAATGTATAAATATTGGTGAAATACAGTAAAGAACAATCAATTATTGGCATATCTCCAAAGAGTGTCTTTTTGAACGTGAGAATTTCATGCTACATTAATCCTCAGGGAATTTAATTATGATCAAGTAGGAGCCATTCCATTTGTTTAGGAAAATTCTGTTATCTGCAAGCTTCTCAGAGGACATTTATGGTCTATGTTTTCACTCTGGCATGTAACATGGAAAGCAAAATCCTTAAAACATATTTGAATTTTTTTCTCAGCTTGAAGGATGCCAATGATGTACCAATCCAGTGTGAAATCTCTCCTCTTATTTCCTATGCTGGAGAAGTAAGTTCACTTTGCTCTTTTCCCTGTTTCTTTTATAAAGTATTGTATATTTCCAGATAGTTAAAAGAGAGTGGATTTTAAGGTTGTACACTTTTTTTGTTGTTGTTTTCTGGTACTGGGGATTGAACTTAGGTCCTTGTGCTTGCAAGGTAGGCACTGGAACCACTGATGTAAATCCCCGGCAAAAAGAGAGTGGATTTAAAATGTTCTAACTACAAAGAAGTGATGAATGTTTGAGGAGAGTGATGTGTTAATTAGGCTGATTTAATTATTCTACATTGTGGACATGCATTGAAACAGCACACCGTGCCCCTATATATAATTATTTGCCAGTTAAAAATAAGATACAACTTTTTAAAATATAAGGTTCTGGCATTGTTTTATGTTTAAGAACAGTTGTCTTTAGAGAACATGCAGTATTTTTTTTTAACAGTTCTGTCCTGAAAGACTCTTCCTGGAGTGTGCTGAGAAGCTGCATCTGTTCTGAATTCTTGTCATGTTCTTGCATCTATCCCATAATGTAGTTGTCATTAATAGAAATCTGTAATGTTTAGTTCATTTCACCTATTCATTGAAATGCAGTAGGCTTTAAAAATATATGATGCACCTTATTTTTGGATAGATTTATTTGGCTTTTTAATGTAATATAAATTTCCTTTCACAGTATTTATTTATTTATTTATTAATTTTTGGTACCAGGGATCGAACTCGGGTCCTTGTGCTTGCACAGCAGGCGGCGAAACCACTGAGCTAAATCCCCAGCCCTCACAGTATTTATTTTGTTCATGTACTTAATAGTGTCACTTTTTAAAACCTGAGGATTTGAGGGCTCCTTACTGTTCTAGTTATGTAATATTTTTTTCTGAAGATCATGTCAGTATTAGTTCTAGCATCAGAGGTAGATTTTATTTTTTATGTTTTTGGTTTTTTCTGGTACCTGCGATCGAACTCGGGACTTTGCACTTGCAAGGCAGGCACCGGAACCACTGAGCTAAACCCCCGGCCCTAGATTTTTTTTTTTAAAGACAGGTTCTCACTGTGTAGCCCACGCTCACCTTGAACTCACAGCAATCCTTCCTCAGCCTCCTGAGTGCTGAGATTACAGGTGTGCACCACTGTGCCCTGTTAGAGAAAGCCATCTTGCTTATTAGAAAGTTAATTTTATTGAGCAATACTTATGGTAAGAATGAATATCATCTTAATAAACTTTACAAATCATATTCTAACCACTGTCTAGCATGTGCAAGGTCCTGAGTTCAGTCTCCAGCACCACACACACACACACACACACACACACACACACACAGATAAAAATTACAATCAAGAGTAACTTTCTTTGTTGTTATTTGTCTCATGACTTTTTTTTTGGTACTGGGGATCAAACTTGGGACCTTGCGCTTATGAGGCAGGCACCGGAACCACTGAGCTAAATTCCCGGCACTGTCTCATGCTGTTATAAATGTCATTGGGTCTAGTTTTTAAAGTATATAAAATAGTTTTGACTTTTAAATTCTTCATAACCAACCAGGTTTGACTTCATGGTTTAAGTCTGTATTAGAGCTACTAAGTCCAGCATAACACCTACCAATTTTGTAACTGTGTCTTATGTCAATCTTCCTTTTAGGGACTAGAAAGTTACGTGGCAGATAAAGAATTCCATGCCCCTTTAATCATTGATGAGACTGGAGTCCATGAGCTGGTGAAAAATGGAATATGAGTCATATACCAAGTTCTGCTACAACAAGGAATAGCTTTTTATCTTTACTAGAACAACTGTGAACCTACAGGACATGTCCTGGAAGACTGAAGTTTGAACATTCACAGGGTTTCATTTTGCTTATTCAACTCTTAAACTACTACAAACCTCCCAAAATCCAGATGACTGAACTTCAGATAGCATTTTTATGATTCTCAATTCATTGAAGGTCTTATTTATGTTTTTCAATTGTCTGATTTATTTCCAAGTCAAGGAAAACATTAGCCATCTAGAACATTTCTTATAGCTTAAGTATAGTCAGGATGTCCAACATCACTTTACTTGGAGCTGGAAGCTTTTGTTTTTGAAATTGTACATAGTAATAATATGTCATTGTACGTGTCAGAAGGTTTCTATGGTACTAAAAGTTTGTTTTATTTTATCAAACATTAAACTTTTTTAAGAAAAAAAATTGGATAGTAAAATAAACTTAGCTTCTTGTCTCTGGAGTGTTATTTGCACCTTGAAGAAATTATTCCATTGGGAAAAACTTGGGAAACTTGGGCAAAACTTTTGAGATAAGGCATAAAAACAAATGGATGCTTCTGTGCAGTTGCAGTCATAGAGCTTTTTTCACTGAACATTCAACTTTGGGCCTTTTTCTTTTCCTTCTCTCAGCTGAAGATGATTCTCTAAAGGGACATGGCGGTGTGTGGAGACGTTTTTAGGTGTCACAGCTGGGAGGGTAGGATGGCAGTACTGGCATCTAATGAGACCAGCGATGTTGCTAAAATCTCACAATGCAGAGGATAACCACCTACAATAAAGAATTATTGGACCCAAGATGTCAGGCGTCACAGTTGAGGACCCCTGTTTTAAATAATTCATTTACTCACTTTTGCCCAAGTATTTTATAGCACTTACGAATTCAAAAGAATGTAGTTTCTGGATTTCCTCACCAATTAACCACTACTGTTTCCTGTTTTTTCTAGCTGGAGGATTAAAAAGGCAAAGGTCATCTTTAAATAGGGATGAGAGATGACTGGTCATTAGTAAGGGTCGTCTGTGTCTAAAATACTGCTACATGAAAATATTGAGCTTTATCAATGCATTTTTAGCCAGGAATGGTGGCACATGCCTGTAATCTCAGTACTGTGGATCCTGGATATTCTGGGAGGGGGTCATAGGTTTGAGCCCAGCACAGGGAACAGCAACTTTGTGAGACCCTTTCTCAGAATTTAAGAAGAGGGGAGGGGGTGCTGGGGTTATAGCTCAGTGTCGTGGCCTTGAGTTCAATCCCCAGTAATGCAAAAGAGAAAAATGTATTTTATATACCATTTATATATTGAACAAAAGCATAAACAAAATCTGGAGATTAATAAGTTATTTTCTACTAACAAGTCACAAGATGAGTTATGTCTGTGTCTTTAAGGAACACTTGTTAGCAACAGCATATACTACTGAGATCTTGTTCTAAAAAATCTAAGGCCTAAGTGTGTAGCTAGCATAGTTTCAGATTTGTTTCAGAAACAGCCCAATTTTGCTGTTGATATTCATTCTATTCTGCAAAGAAAAGTTTTGTGAAATGTGAGTTCTCATTTAGAATTAGCTCCAAATGGATTATGAGGGCAGAAACTCTTCGGGGTTTTAGCTCCTGAATGTGATTCATTTTTGTGAAACTTCATCTGTTATTTCCTCTCTGTCTTTAATGTGCCCATGATGTGAGAGAAAGGAAGAAATGGAAGTATGATGTGATACTTAAACTGGATTGTCCACTTGATTGGCTTTAGAGCTGCCCAAGAGAGAAGTAAAGCACACTTCTGGGTATGTCTGCGTACATCATGGAGTCATGACCTCGGGGACTGTCTTGATCTCTGGCCCCTTCCTCTCCGGCGCTGTTCCCCTGCTCTGCTACCTGGCCACCATGGACCATGCAGCTTTGCTTCCCCACACCCTTTTGCCATGATGTCTCTGTCTTGGAACCAGCCAACCGTGGGCTGAAACACAGACAAATAAACCTCGTCATTTAAGTTGTGTGAGTCAGGTATTTTGTCCAGCAATGAGAAAGCTGACTAATACACAAGGGATTATGTTAGTGGTTTTATGGAGAGGAGCAATGGCCAGGGAACATCAGTCGAGCAAAGAATCTGAGAGCCCTTGTAGTGTGAAATTACACGTCTACATATATACGTCAGATAAGATACCTTGTTAAATAATTGTCCTAATTTTAAAAACACAGAATTGGATAAAATGTTTATAAAATGTGGATTAGAATCATTTGGCAATAGCATAGGATTTGTATGAGAGTTCAGTCGAGTGGTCAGATCACACCCACTGTATTCATGATTTTACTCATGGTCACATATGAGCCAATGGGTGTGTTCAGTGACTTCTGGAAGATGAACAGAAGACTTCATTTTCACTCACTACTCCTACTCTCAGAAGTTTTTAGGGTTTTTAGCCATATATATTATTTCAAGCGTTAGGTTGCCATTCTTGATGATTCATCATTGTAGTCAGATCTCAGATATCCAGGTAAAAAGGCAGATCATGTGTAATCTAAGAGAGTGACTGAAATTCAAGTCATTCAGTCCAGCCTCCCAGAGTGCTGTGCAGTTTGCTTGGAAGTCTTTTTCTTGGCTGAGACTGATGTTTTTGCAATTCATGATCCTCTTTAGCCCCAGTTTAGGAAAGCATGTTGGGAAGTGACAGATGAATGAGTCAGCCAAGAGAGACTGAGTGTTTGTCACAGGTCCAACACCATCAAGGAATAAAAAGTACAGCAGAGCCCTTACTCCTTACAGAGATTGCATTCTAGGTAGAGATAAAATTAATTCATAACACAATGGAAAGATAATCTAGTATTAAGGTGTAAGGAATTAAATTCATTAAAGTTGATTGCTGGTTGAATTTCTGAAGAACTCCATCGTACTATGGACCCTCAAGTTACGACTGGCCTGACATAGAAACAATTTGGGTTAATTAGGTTAATGGTAGATTCATCTGCTTCTTGTTATTGCGTGTACCCAGGTAAACATACAGATCTCAGTTGTATTAAAAACGACTTGAATTATAACCAGCCCTCGCGAACCGATTGAGTTCATAAGTCAAGGGTCCACTGTATTAGGGTTCCCCAGGGAACCCTATCCATAGGAGACAGGTAGGTAGATGATAGAGATATATAGAAAGATTTATTATGAGGGACTGGTTCATAAAATTATGGAGGTTGAGTTCCATGATAGGCTGTTTGCAAGTCAGAAGCCCAGGAAAGCCAGTGGCTTAGTTCCTGTCTAAAGCTAAAGCCTGAAGAGCCAGAGTAGCCAATGATGTAAGCCCCAGCCTGAGACTGAAGGCTAGAGAACCAGGAGTGCCAGTGTCCTAGGGTGGGAAGGGATGGCTGTCCCAGCTCAAACAGCCAATTCACCCCTCCTCCACCTTTTCTGTTTAGATCCCTAGTGGAGTGGATGTGCACCCATGGTGATGAGGATGCTCTATGTAGTCTGTTGATACAGATGCCAGTGTCTTCTTGAAACACCCTTGAAGACATGCAGAAATGATGGTTTACCAGCTATCTGGCTTCCTTTAGCCCAATTAAGTTGATACATAAGATTAATGTCACTGCTATCACTTGAGAGTATGGATAGCCCCTTCTCCAAGTGGGGTCAGATGACTATTTACTAAGGAGAAAATATACCTTAATAATTCTAATGTGTTATGGAAAAATCAGTGAGACTTTTAGTAATTTGAACCATGTTGCCCAGGGGATTCAAACTTTTAACTCGGATTCATTGGACTTACCTGGCTTAAGATTCAGGGTGTGTTGCCTGTAACCCCAGCACTTTTGGAGGCTGAGGCAGGAAGATTGGAAGTTTGAACCCAGCCTGGGCAACTTAAGACAGAACCTATCTCAGAAAGGGGGAGGAGGCACTGGGAATGTAGCTTAGTGTGGAGGCTCTGGCTTAAACCCCAAATTGGCCAAGACAGGGAGATAATTCGACAAACTGTCACAGTTCTAGGTAACTTAAGTAAGTCCTAAGTCCTGACCAGGTATATCAGCATCAGCTGGAGATTTGTTAAAAAGGCAAGTTCTTAGGATTTCTGTATTAGACAGTTGGGTGGGGAGTTCAGAACTTTGTGTTTTAACAATCCTTCCCGGTGATTCTGATATGCATTTTTAGTTTGCTGTAAGTCATGGGTATCTAATTTAAAATAAGCATTAGATGACTCCAAAGGGCAGCTAGGCATGTGAATCACTAATTTGAATGTATAGACATAGAATTCAACAAGAGAGGATGAGAAGGAAAAAGGAGTTCGATATGTCTGGCTTTGAAGATTAGACAAGGGAAGAGGGTAGGGTAACATTTCACTTGACCAGAACAGGAGCAAAGGTTAGGACGGATGGGGCTGGGAAAGGACCATTCTGTGGTGGATTCTATTTGGCAAATATTGGCCTATTGGAACTGCCCTGAATATAGCTGTTGCTAAATTTTATCCTTCCCAGACTCATTATATATTTCCTGAAGTGGGGGTCAAGGTGATAGAGAAAAGAAAGGGGGAAATTTAACGTAGTTTAAAAATATTACCAGTTTTAGGGTGAATGAAGAGTAGAAAGTAAAATGACTTGTTAAGGTGATGGCATTGTGGGTGAGTTTTTTCTTCTCTATTTCACAAAACTTTGGGTGATGCATTTTTAATTTTATGATAGTTTTATCAGGGCTCAAAAGAACAATAAACCAAGAGTGTTCACAATTAACCATTTAGGTGCAGTTGTGAAGGATCTTGGAGGTAAAATTGGTTGCACGGGAGTTCGGGCAGGATGCAAATATACCTTGGAAGAGTGGAGTGTTGGTAGTGCATCTTTGCAGTATGAGACAATATAGGCTTCATTTGCTACTTTCCCTAACATCAAGCATTTGGGCTCCTTCACATGTGAAATACAGTGTTTATGGCTCAGAGCAATGAATGAATGAAATACCTTGTGAGATACAGCCTTTCTGCAAGAGGCCTAATTCAAGTCCTCTGATGTAACGTATGAATTTAACATATTTCCTCTTAAAACTGGGAGGTCTGTCTTGCCAAAATCTCAGGGAGTCAGTGGTGACACAAAACATGCTTATATAGATGTAGTGTTTTCAAAGTTCTGAACAAGGATAGATGTCATAGGAATTTTTAAGAAAATCTGTCGTTCTAGTTTCACAACTCATCCTTTCTACATCAGTTCTTTTTATTTCCCTCTAAGTGATTCTGCTTTCCTAGAACATTACTCCTCAGATTTTCTTCAGATGGGCAAGAGTTTTTTTCCTAAATGAAGTATACAATGCATACTGTATGTCTTTCACAGTAAAATATGTAACTTGGGAAGTATGGTAAAGGTTGAAATAAGACTTGATAGATTTCCTTTTCAAGTTTAAAATGTTTCTAAATTTATATACTTCTAAAAGATCTGAAATGTGATAGAGACTAAATTTCATGAATATAGAAAGTATTAGGAAATTACTATGGCCAACAT